AGCCTTAGCTTAAAATCCATGGCAAGTATTGCCTCAATAATCATTGCTATGGATTTTAAGCTACGCTTAAGCTAAGCTCTACTTAAGTTTGTGGAAAAGGCCATTCATCGAGTAAACAAGGAGCACTGAACCCCACACACAAACGCTGGCAGCTTCTGTACTTTACTTTTCTCTTTAGCACACAAAATCTTGATGACAAACAACATTAACTCGATGAATGAAATGACGAATTGCCGGTGGCTCTTCAGACGGTACAAACTTTTAAGATCATAAGACAACCTTGACAAAGAGCCTCACGTTGCACTAAACTGACATTTTCAACTGACAGACTTTTGCCATAAAGCGGACAAACCAATTTTTGAACTTCTCACACAACTTTCGTTAACTTACTTCTGCACAAAAAAGTGTCAGTTATTTTTTTGCTAATTGTGTACTAACGACAAAACGCGGATGAGTCACTCTAACAAAGTCGGCATTGTTGCAGGGCTCTATAAGTCTGTACCCCCAAAAATCCAGTCTTCGTCTGGAAAATTAAGGGCGACCATTTTTTGGCACTGTGACGGCGGTTTGCTTACTGAGTACAAAAGGGATCACGATTAGTGATGAAGCTTAAGGAAGCACGATTGAACGCTTAAAGTAAAACTCTTGGCGAACAAACACTGCGCTGTTGGTATGTCATTTTCTTCAAACAACAACAAAAGCAGTAACTTCGTTTTTTTTAAGGATAAGTAAATGATTTTCCTTGTGGAAAACAGCTGGTGCAACGGTGGACTAAATGTATTTGGGTAGATGTGTAGCCTTATGGTCTTCTTATAAAGTTTAAATAATTATTGTTTTGTAACCAGTTGCACATGGGGCTTGAACCCTCGACTGGTATACTGGCTTTACACTGCAGTGATAAGGCCAATAATACTGTATGGTGCACTTGTATGGTGGCCTGCCATGCGCAGGGTAACCTACAGGAAGCAGCTAGGAAAGGTCCAGCGACTCGCCTGTCTGGGAGTCACTGGAGCCCTAAAAACCACGCCAACCTTGGCCATGGAGGCACTTCTGGGCCTAGAGCCTCTACACTTAGCTGTGGAGGCAGAGGCTCGGAAAGCTTCCATACGGCTAAACGATTGGGATGAATGGAAGGATCGAGGCAGCCTTGGGCACGGGCGGATCTGGGAGGAAACCCTCAGGACCGATCCCCTCCTCGCAAGGAGGGACGTGATCCGGGCTATCTTGCTAAGACCAAAGCGTTATAAAGTCATTCTCCCGGATAGGGAGCAGTGGCTGAACTCGGATTGCCCGTTCCTCAAACCTGAGGGGCTCGTGTGGTTTACAGACGGGTCCCAAACAGAAAGGGGAACGGGCATGGGTATATATGGTGATCGACCGAGAGCCAGCGTCAGCGTCTCCCTTGGTCAGCATAGCACCGTGTTTCAGGCAGAGATGTTAGCCATCATGACCTGTGCACAGGAAAACCTCCGTAGAGGTTACCGTAATAAGCATATATACATATGCAGCGATAGTCAGGCGGCGTTGAGGGCCCTGTCGGTAGACAGGTTCCGATCAGCTACGGCGCTTGATTGCAGGTGAACCCTAGATAGATTAGGTGAGTCTAATAGGGTAAGCTTGATTTGGGTGCCAGCGCACTGCGGAATAGGGGGCAACGAAAGGGCGGACGAGTTGGCTCGCGAAGGCAGTGGTGGAGTCTTCGTCGGGCCCGAGCCTACCCTAGGGATTGCTCCCTCCGTTGTTAGGGCCAGGATTAAAGATTGGTTGACCAGTCAATTCCAGGCTCAGTGGCAACAAGTAACCGGACTCCGGCAGTCCAAGGCCTTTCTAACAGGGCCCCTTGGCAAATCGGGGTCTTCTAAGCTTCTAAAACTGAATAGATGCCAGATTAGGGAGATCACCGGTGTCCTTACGGGACATTGGATGGTCAACTATCACCTGCATAACATTGGGCTCGCGGAGGAGTCCACGTGCAGGTTCTGTGGCGAGGCAGATGAAACTACCGAGCATATGGTCTGTCACTGTGACGCTTTGATCAGGGACAGATATCAACTCCTTGGAGACAGATACCTGGAACCGAGGAGGGTGAAGCAACTTAAGCTAAACAGGGTCCTATCCTTCATTGAGAGGAACGGGCTCTGAACTCAGTTGCGAAGAAAGGGGGTAGGCACAATGGGCCTCTGATGTGCCTAAGTGCTGCCCGGTCGGGCTCCCCTGAGAATAGAATAGAATAGAACCAGTTGCACAGAGTTTTAGCATTGAATAAACACTTTAAGTGTTAAGTGTTTATTCAATGGTTTTAGTTAGTTCATCAGTTGGCACACATGGCATGCCAATTTAATGCGTCAATTATTGGTATGTGGTGGTTTTTATGATTAAATTGATTAGTATTGTTTTAAATCGACAGTTGCTAGAGATGATCCTTAGTTTTAATTTGCGTTAATTTGATTTGCTGAAATTGCGTTAATTTTCTGTTACAGATTTGCAAATCGAAATGCAGTAAAGTTTAATAGTTAGGGTATATTGCTTAATTATTTTGTTCAATTTCCTTTTTATCACAAACTTAATTATCTATGCCTTTTGTGAACACACGTCACATTATGTATTTATACAGTAATGCATTCGATGAATCACTTTCAATTAGTAGCGGCATAAAAAGGTCAGTAAAGGCATCTACTTTTCGTGCTATAAGCAGACAGTAAGTGCTCACCATTAAAAGTAATTATTAAACCATTAATGTCAACGCTGTTTACGTTCATTATGTATAAAAACTATGTCACTTGAAGCTTTTGAATTTTTAATTAAAATCGAGTTGAAGTTTATGCAAATAGAGGTAGAGATAGGTGTACGTAATAGGTTTTAACCCTATCGACTGATTTAACAGATTAGATAAAATCCTCTTCTATTTTGCGAATGACCACGTGCAGAATTTAATTTGTCGATTTGAAATCCCACTGATAAAATAATTAATTTTGTTGCAAAAGAGGATTGAGCTTAGTTTGCATTATAATTCGTTGTGCATGCAGCCTGGTCATCTATTATATATTTTAAGCTCCGTAAATGCGAGGTTTACCCTCTTAATACTATTAATTTAATAACTCCATCAAAAGTGTGCACTATTGTGCATACTAGTTGTAGTGTTTAGCTCTGATAGAATACGGAATAATTATGATCAAATTTGAGTGACCGGCATTTTGTTTATTTATTTATTCATTTATTTATTTATTGTCCCTCTTGTTCTAGGCCCTCAATAGGCTTACTTGTTGGAAGAATGTTCGTAGCAATTTTTTTGGCGTAGGGCAGCTTAGCCATAGCAACCAGTTATGATATTACGGAGTAATCTTCTTCAATCCTAATCTTCGTAATAAGCTTTTAATATAGAATTTCAGACAAGCACACTCACACCAATGGTCCTATCATTTTATTTCATAAGGCACAAAAAACATGGACCACCGGTAAGGGGCGACATATAAGGAATAGTGGGGCGCTTTTACTCTAAGCAAGTACTAATATCTACAGCTCTACGAAAATTATTTAGACACGTGGGTATTTCTTCACTTCCAAGCGCAAGCAATATATGAAAAAGCCACACAACTTTGCATTCGAAAATTAATTAAAGACGTGACGCTTTAATTTCTTTGGAATGTTTACTGCATTAAATAAACATGTTTTAGGTCCCCTGTACAAGTCCTATATAAATCGGAGTGCAAGACTATCGTGATCGATTCAATGGTGCAGCTATTGAAATGTTTATTTCATAGTGCTTTTTGGGATCTTTTAAGCACCAAGACCAAGGCTTGGCATTGTCTTCTGATAGCTCCACTACGCTGTTGACCTTTTCTTGTTCAGCAGTTTCGAAATTCTTCAAATAATTTTCTACTGCCTTCGCAAAGTTGATGGGATGACAATTTCTGACGTTTCCATCAAATTTCTTTGCCCTTTGGTATAATTTGTGTTCTGGTTTCACCATTACCTTATGGATTCTTGAACTGTTCACTCTGATTTCTTCTTTAATAGTTTCTATGTCTTCAGAATATTTTTCGACTTTGTTGCTTGGGAGGCTTTCCAGGTTTTGAGATCCGAGAACTGAGCTCAATTATTGTTGGCGTCAACGGCGACCAATATGTTTTACTTGTACTTGGCCCTATACGTGCGAATTTGTGCCCGGAGTATAAATTTATTTGTGAAGAATTGTGTTAAGATTCAGTAATTAGTTTGGTAATCAATCATTCTTGATTGGAGGTTTGTTAAACTGTAAACATTTTCAGTTGCCCAGTCAAGATACTCAGATTTGTGTGTAACGTAACTTATAATTTTGAATATTTGTGTGTTACGCTATCCCATTGTGGAGTTTATTTTTGATTTGATTTTGGTGTGAATAAACAAGTATTTATTTGGTACCTAAATTGATTTGCACTGTTATTACTACCCTCGCATCTTATCAATTTCCTACGGAGAGAGTTCAGTTAGAAATTGAGTGGCGCTCAACCATTGGTAAGTGCAACGAAGTTACGAAGATCATTTTACCCAGAACGAACAACCGCTGTGCAAGATTCTCAAGCTCTTATTTTGTGTTTAACCCTGAGCTAGTTGGTTGTTTATGCGGCATGTTTGAGGAAACGTAACGCCAATTCTACTTACCCTTTATAATGTTTTTTTTATTAATTGGGTTTAGTATTGTTATAATTTAAATTTTTAATGTGAAAAGCAAACATTATGATTGGACTTACACTTTATAAATATGCGCTACTTTACCATAAACATTTCTACAAGAAAAAAGGACTCCTCAGAAACAATTCTGAACCATTACTGATCCCAAATTAAGTAGTCAAGTTCTACTAGAGCCTAGAGCTAGAATGTGAACCTGTAACTAACAATACATTTAGGAATAAAGCAAAGTATTACATAATTAAATATTGATTAACAACACTTTTACATGCATATTTGAATTACAATAAACACGTAATTAAAAAAAGTACTTATGCCTTCTTCTTATTTTCCACATTTCTTAGCTGTGCGGTGGTATCTAATTTCTACGCCTTGAGTGAATTTCGAATTCGACATCAACACATGACACGTACTCTCCAGTTATAGTATCGTTTCCCTTGAATTGTAATTTCCAAAATGCGTTTGGTAACGGCAGAATGGTTAACAGCTTTTCATTAATGGGGGTGGGTGCGAATGTATAGTTTCCCTAAAAATATGTGACCTTTAGTAATCGTCACTAATTGCGTTGTTGAAATACAGAGTGTCCGACGAAATGGGTAGGTGATTGTATGAGAAACTAATGTGATTAGGTTTCTGTAAAATTGCAATGGTGTATTTAATGAGCACGTTTTAGCTAACGCACTGATATACCCAAACACCAATATTGCCAACCTTGGTTCATCATTAAACTGCTGCTCAATAGAGGGCGCTTTTAAGTATACCTAAATGTGTTACCTATAAAATGCATAAGGTTAACAATCTGTTGTTATGTATATCTGTGGCTAAGGTATTTTGAATTAAGCATAAGGAAATTTATTTTGTGCAGGAGTAAATTTTCCAAAAATTTTAGAAAACTCGAATCCAATTTCCCATTAATTTCCCACATAAACACACTGTGTACCCTAGGCATTCATCATAATATGTATAATAGACCGTAAATAGAAGTACAATGACGTTTAACAAATATAATCATAGTGTACATTAGGCAAAGTAAACAATTAGCAATTAGTTCTTCTTAATTTTTTTTATTTCCTTAATTTCCCTGGATAACCTAGCATAGTCAATACATTTTAGACGATGGATCAAAGTTAAGGCACCGGTAGTAAACATCTCAAGTTTTACGTACTTGAAATACAATCAACACTCCTTAAATATTTAAGACCTATTCTGCTGTATATTCATTTCTGCTGCTGCATTAAAATTTAATAGAAAGTTTTAAACTGAGGGAAGGAGAGTCCCTAATAAAATAATAAAATTATTTTTTAGGCGTGTTCAAGAGCGTAAAATCGTTTTAGCTATTTGTTATTCATTCAGCTTTCTGAGAGTTCTTCTCATAAATATAATTAATATACACATTTTATGCTTATCCTATTTGACATTTCTTTCTGCATGGATGTTTTGCAAACCATTAATTATATTTGCAGATATAGTTTGTAATACCCCCTAATGGATTTAATACCGAGATCTGGAACTTAGAGTCATTATAGTAGCAGTAAGTAATTAATGAACTTATTACAATTATACAACCGCAGTTTGTAATAAGATAATGGGTTCCTCCTTTAGTACATATATGATTACTGGCGTTCTTCGCATAAGTTTTTGCAGCAGTTATATTAGACTTGGATTTAACAACTCACCACGTTAATAGGGCAACGTGGAGGCATACTAAAATTGTCCATAAAAGGTGTCCAAATCTGATTTTTCTTCCCCATAAGTTCACATATGTCATTTGATGTGTAATCTTTTAAATAATATTCACAACTGTCCATGTGCTCATAGTCTTCGCATTTCCAGAAGGTAACCGACATCTGAAAGAAAATAATCTGTAGGTAATTGGCCGATCCACAACGCGCGTGTGTTTACATTTAATAAACAAGTGGTTCGTTAAATAGTATTGACCAATTATATTCACTAATTAAGACTCGTTCTTAAAATCGTACCTTTCTACGTCCATCCGGGCGATAACTCTTGACGTACCGAAAGTGAAGCCTAAATAGCACACGCAATCATCCAGCTTTAACGAACACCTGGTACATGGATGAAATCGGACGTGCACTTCGATACTAAAAACCGCATCGTCTAGATATCATTATTTATATTGCAGAAATTAATTGTGTTTTATTGCAACTGTTGATGATAAGTAAACAATTTATCAGTTTTTTAACCGTTCCCCTACAGATATTTCAATTATCTTTACAGCATCCGAAAGCTCTCTTATTATTATTATATTATTATATTGTAGGATTTCAGCCCCGTTACGAAATTATTGGCCGATTTTAGTTTAGTAAAAAAGGAGTACAATTCTACTTATGTATTTAGAAATTTCAATCCGGCCAATTAAGTGAGTATAGTTTACCATATTAATTAACTGTGTTGCAGCAATCTTTATCAAAATGAGTCGTGTTTGGTATCGTTAGAATCGCGCTTAAATAGCATGAATTTTAAGACTGGTCGCTGATTTTTATTGTTGAAAAATCTAGACGACGAGAGACAATGTGATTATTAAGATGATTTTAATTTTACAGCAACAAACTTACAGTTCATATATATATATATATATATATCAGTCAAAACATGCAATTATTTTATATCTTGACTGTGCATAGAATCTAAAGGAGAAACTTAAGTTTCCTATTTTTATGTCTAATTCAATGAAACTTAATTTGGAACACTTCTTTACTTTTTTAAGTTGGATTGTATATTTGTCGTCACATCAAAGCTTCAGGTGATGAACTCATTCCCATTTAGGTTTAACAGTGCATATTAGAACAATTATTATTAAAAAAAAAGAGGAATTCAACATAATTAGATCAAAATTAATATGATATTAAGGTGACCTAAGATGTCCTGCAATCCAAATTTTGACACATTTTATAGTACCTACTTAACCAATTCAAATTTTGTAATTAATCATTACATCTCGTACGACAAAAGAAAAGTTTACCATTTTCATAACCCCATTTATTTATTCCCTAGAGGAAAAGAAAACTGCTTACAGAAAGGGGGTTTTCTTTGCTTATAAATAGAGCAATATTCTTGTTAGTTTCTCTTATTTTAAACGGTTAGAATCAGCAATGATTTTGTTTTTCAACGATTGAAATGATGAATAATTTCGGAGAAAAGTTGTTATTTAGTTCTTACCGTAAGCCTTTCCACTCGTTTCTTAACGTATACCATAAAACTTATAGCCGTAGTCGCTCCTTGTTCGTTGCGAGTAAAGACCACGTTTTCAAACACGAGAGTAGGGCGCCGTTGTCCAGGACACATCGCTAGTTTTCGAAATTGTACCTTGCGACCCTGAAATAAGTCATTGTTACATCTAAGTGCCTGGATTTTCTACACCCATTAATATTACTTATGAAAAGATAATGCAACGTCAGCGCCATAAGTTCATGAAGCGTTACGTTTTTTTAGCATCGCTATTATGATAATTATGAGCTACAATAAACCGTAAAATTTGAATATCTTTTTTGTAAAAATGTCTATTTTAAATCGTTACGTTATCAAGTATTGTTATTTAAATTTTATAAGATTACCACTGCTTGTAGTATTTTATAGCAGGGAGCAAGCAGTAAAACAAGTATAAACTTAAGAGCGGAATTATTCTTTTATGTAAGCAGAATTGTTTTTCTTTTTTGCAGTTAATTCGTCGTAAACATGCACTTTAAACACGAAATCGTTATTGTTTAATGCTTACCGTAATTTTTTTTATTTCGTTTAAGTAATTATGTTCGAAACGCACCCATTGAATATAATAATATAAGTAAATCTGTGGGGTTTGTTTTGACTAATGAACATAATAAATGATCGTGCACTATTCTCCAATCTAAGGCGCGGGAGTAGGGGCGTAGGGCACATTATCAATTTATTCCGCACAAAGCGAAAACGTTAATAACTGCTTGATGGATTGACTTACGTACTATAATAAACTGTGTCTCGGCACACAACAACACGCTGCATAAAATGGCAAAAAGTAACACAGTTTGACCCATACTGCTTTCAGCACTCAACAGCCGCCCTAAAATGACTAATAGTTTTACTCGCTACTCTTCATATATTTTACGTCAAAAACACTTTGCAAACGATCATTATTTTCTGATACTTATCTAGAGGAAATGGCCATGGTACATTTAAATACGTATAAATGTACAATAATGTATACCTATCGCGATTGCGAACGCCGCTCTCAATAACTCCGATGGCGTCATTAAACAATGCCAAATGTGGTTACCACAACTCTACATTTAAATTTGTATTTACTCTATTTTCTTGTTGAGCGAGCAAAAGCTATGGTACATTAACTACTGTGTTCTGATAGCAGCCATTTACAATTAAATATTTGTGTTTGCATATTTAGGCAAGCTCTTGATTTTTAATTGTTCTCAATGTAAACCTTTGCATTTCGAGTAGTCAGTTTAGTATGTAAATACTTCTTCATCCCAAACTACAACAGACTAATTTGTTGCGAAACGATAATCCGATTGGTGATTAATTTCACATCAAACCTAACTTGATTACACAAATTTAGATACTTGTTGTTAGTGGTGAGTTTTCTACTTTTGAACGTTCAGCGTCTCTCTTGTAGGGACCGGTGGTAAGTCGACAAAATACGGGACATCTGCTCCTGTCGACTTGCCACATATGAACTGACATGTAGTCCTATTTGGAATTAATACCGGGAAATATTTCACATATAATATCAGTATCATATCACATCATTACATACCTCACAGTCATGTATTAGTTTATTGCCATGCCATATATTATAAAGGTATGGATCACGGCTGGATTCGAATCACTTTTTCAGATTCCTAACATGAGATTTGAACAATTCTTGACCTGAATTCATCCTTTTGAAAGGGTTGCGATTAGACTTAATATTAGAGTTGGGAGCAGTCAAATTGATAAAAGTTCAAACAATTGTTTAGGTGCAGGTATCTACAGCGTGCAGATACCAATCCAGAATTCGCTTCTTCGCTATAAGTTAAAAAGTACCAGTGATAATTATGTTCTAAACTAAACCGTTTCGCCGTCTCGTATCTTTTGATTATACGGCGGCGGCCTAACTAGGGATAAAATGACGGCGGTTAGTTGTTCTGACAGGACAGGACAGTGTAACGGGAGTCCGTTAAGATGGTTCGATATTTTTGTATTGATTTCCGTTATATTCAAACGAAAACAAAAAATGAAAGGAAAATTTTCGCTTTGGGGCGAGTAGTTTTAGAGCATTTTCCATGAATTGATCAGTACTTCCCAAAATGTTATATAACGGCCTATTTATGTGTATAAATAAAAAAAGTAAATTAAGGTATAAATATTCTCTTAAATATGCGGTACGTTGACTTTTACTAGAAGAATTTTTGGTTAATGTTTCAAAAAACATTTCTATAAATAATAAAGTTGCCACTGCGCAGTTTGCGCATGGGTGGATCTGATTGTTACAATATGGGATATGATTGTCTTTGCTAGAAGTTGCTCAGTTTGCGCACATACGCACATAGGACTTTTAAAATATCCTATCTGCTTGTCTGTACTAAAACATCTGGAGTTAAAATTTCAAAAAACTACCTATATAAATAAGAAAGTTGACATTGCGTCTAAAACTGACACGTAAACGCTGAACGCTTCAAGAACTTCATTTCTTCTTGATAAAACTGAACTTGACGACAAAATCTGGCTTGTTGAACTTATGCATTTAAAAAAATTTCTAAAAGGAAAAACAAACACTGAGATACAAATTTAAGTAAAATAAGCTAACTTCGTGTTTATTCAAAATAACACAACAGATTTTTACTTAAAAATTGACATACCACATACATAGTGGCCCAACCTTACTGAAGGTGCTGACATCAAAGTTACGTCTACGTGACGTAGGTTGCACAGCCATACATACGTGAAAACGTTTATCTAGCTCTTTCCTGCGATGGGTAGGGCAGAAGAATACCGGTGCCATCTTATATTTTGTGACGTCACAAGGTCGCGGTTCTCTAATTTGGACCAAGGTCGTGGCTTTGGTGAATGGAATTGGCGAGGGAAATGTCCAAGTTACGTACCTAAGGAGTGACACCATTATGGACCAAGGTTATGGCGTTGATGCTAGGGTGTGATCTTGTGTGAGGTAAAAGGTACTGGCATGGGATTTCCCAGTGCTAAGGAGTGACCTTGGTGAAGATAGCGCTTTTAAATTCTTCCTTGTGCTCCAAAACGTGAATTTCCGTCCCAGAAGTGGGAAGGGGGAGGGGGCATTTTTTACCCCAATGCAATACCTAACCTACTAACGTGCGGATGGCAATAAATGACAAATTATTCATTTCAAATTTTATAAAGGAAAAAAAGGCAAAAGCGTTCAAGTAAAAAAAAGGTTATTTATTAGGTTATGTACTTATACAGTGAGCGGCTAAAATATGGAACAAATTCATGATTTGTTCTTGCACATTTTTTGAACTAAAGAGAAAATATACAGAGTGGGTCAAAAAGGAGATTTTGACACCAAAGTTGACTTTTTTAAATGGAACAGCATTTGTTTAAATTTTAGCATTATTTTTATTAGGTGTAGAATTTGGCACATAATTCGGAAATTGATTTTAAAAATACTGTTGCATTTAAAACAATCAAGTTACTTTACTTTTCGACGCACTCTGTATATTGTCTCTTTAGTGCAAAAAATGCGCAAGGAAAAATTATGTACAGGGTGCTACGTGCTACTGCGCGGGCGGACTAAAGATAACAATAAGGCAAGAAATAGACGAATGGCAATTGTGAACATAGAACATAAGAAGTTTGATTGGAAAAAAGCCGAAATTATAGAAGAATTGAACACAGCAAAACTCGATATACTAGTGCTATCTGAAATCAAAAAGAGAAAAAGAGAAAGGATGACTCGAAAAAAATACTGAGAAAGCACGGAGAAGAAGAGAAATATCAACGGAGAACGGATGTTGGAATTTTCTACAATAAATAGGCTAATAATTACGAACATCTTTCTCAAACACAGAAATTTACACGAGTACGCAGCAGGAATGAAAAATCAAGTATAGACTACACAAGTACACACTCATACAAAAACAGTATGCAAGCCAAGTCAGCAGGTGAGAAATCTTCAGCGACCACTATCTATTGGTAGGAAAAATAAAAAGTAGGGGCAGCGATGTAACTACGAGTAAGCAAGAAGACAAAAAGGCAAATCACTACCTAATAAACGCATACAAACTACAAGATCAATAAACAGCAGAAAATTATAGGAATATCATAGAAAACTAAGGAAGGAAATTGAAATGTGGCAGCGGAATCATGCGGGGTAAACAGGATAAACAAGCACATCAATCGAACAGCATGGTGGAGTGATAATATAAAGGAGCAAGTAAAAATAAAGAAACTGAGGTGGAAACAATATCTAATTAGTATATCAGGAGACACATACAAAAGGTACAAGGGACAGAGGAACATAGTGAAGGACTTGTGGTACTGAAATCGCTGAGAGAAGGAAACAAATTACAAAGCAGAACCACAAAAGACAAACAAGGGCAGATGTTAACTCAGTCGAGCAGTATATTGAGTAGATGGAGGGAGTACTTTCAGGACCTTTAAGGAAGAAGAGCTAACGAACAAAATCCCCTAGTTTAAGACCAAGAAAAACAAGACGGAATAGAGAAAGAGGACAAGAGGTCAAATAACCAGGAAAAAAGAGAGATTGTAGAGGAGGAGATGATGGAGGCGATGAGAAGCCGGATAATGTAACGGTAGAGAACGTGGGAAGGACGGGAATTATAATAGTGCTAGAAGTATATAATAAGGCCTTTGATAAAGTTACACGAGAAAAAGATTGGGATAGTCTATACTACAGTGACTCAATTTAGAACAGTGGCGACAACAGAACAGAACACACTGCAATGTCAAACACCATTTAATGATTAATGGCTACCTTTATATTGCACCATATTTTATACTTATTATACCGTTTTCTTTATGAATTTGGGAGGCAATGGTTTCCCCATAGGTTGTTCTGCAAAGTTTTAAACGATCATTCCTGCGCCTTGAGTTTTGAACGAGAGTTTTTAAATGAAATTGACATTTATTATTCTACGGTCACAATTTGATGTTTTGGCCCCAATATGGCGGATTATGATAACTTGTCTTGTCGTCACTGTCCTAATATAGTCACTGTAGCCTATACAACAGAGGAGCAAATCAAAAGTTAATAAAAGCAATTAAAAGCCTGTATAACAATACCAAAAATTATGCTTATGCGGATGATTATGGGGGCAAGAGGTCCCCCAAAACTTAACATTTGGATTGACGGTACACGGATCGAGCAGTGGAAAAGTTTAATTATTAGGAGTAACAATAGACAATGCCGGTAATCAAGAAATAGACATTGTCGAAAGAATAAACAAAGCTAACAAACTTTACTAGGCGCTAAATAATGATTTTATAAATAAAAAAGAGATATCACATGCTACTAAAATAAGTGTTTACAGTTAATGTATAAGACGATCTATAATAGATCAATATGAACGTACGACGGTGAATCCTGGGTGGTAACTTGAAAAATTAAAACGCAATTGGAAACAAAGGAAATGAAGTACCTATCTACGCAGCGCAGAGTCCAAGAAGAGCCACAGGAGCGACAAAATCAGGGCTGACCGATAGGTATAAAATCCCTGACGAGTTCCATCGAAAACCGACAGGTGAGTTGATGGGGACATTTACAAACGATGGAGACAGTAGAACGGTGACGCAAATATGGGAGACAAGGAGACGCGAAAGATCACAAGAAACTTTGGATTGGGCGATCAAGAGCATATTGGAACAACGACGAGGAACTACATGGACCCTTGTAAGACAAATATCACATAATACGAAACAGTGGCGGGCTTTTGTGCATACGAACTAAAAAATGAGTGAAAAGAGAGGAACATTTATTTTCATCTATTTAATTTATTAAATATATTTATGCTTTAAATGAAGTATTTAAGTTGTGTAAGCAAGTAATGTTTGTTTAATAACACATGAAACACATGAAAACCCAACACCAAAAAAGGTAGAAGGGTATTGATTATATATACGAGCATATTTA